CCGGCGCCTGAGGCATAGGCGCATCAGCTCTTGCCGCCTCCTCCTCGTCAGGGCGAGAGTAGTCAGGGCTCCTCCGCCTCCGCGATCGCCGGCTCAGGAACCGGGTCGGCGACCAAAGCCCCGCCAGACACCGGTCCTGACGGGTTCAAGAAGTCAGAGAGGCCTGCTCAAGGGAGACTCCTAAGGCACGCCCAGTGCCAAGCACATCCTGCTGAAGGCGGCGCATCTCGCGAAGCTCGCCCCGCTCCAGGACAGGTGGTGAGACCAAAGGCTCCGGCTCCTCCGCGAGGGGAGGCCCACGGGCGGCGAGGACCCGCCCGCCGCGTAGGGGGAGGCCTTCACGGTCCGCACCTTTGGCCCTTGAACTGGCGGGATGGGCGCCTTCCTCTCTATGGTGTCCTGGCCTGGCGGGATGTAGGCAGCTTGCCAGGCCGGGCCTTCTGTGGCACCTTCGCCCGTGGCCGCGTGTCAGGGAGCTCGGAGCTGCTCTTCGAACCAGCACTCCCCGCAATCTCTCGGCTCGTAGGAGGAGGCCGGAAGAGAGGACCTGCACCACTCGCGACCTCACGGCCCGCGAAGCGGCCGGTCGAACGCAAGGGAGCAGAGGAGCTCCTTGCAGAAGCGCCCTCGGGCCTTCTCAGGTCAGCTCAAAGACTAGGCCGGTCCTGGCGCTGCTGCGCTATCAGACGCGAATAGCGCTGCGACCCGGCCTCCAGGGCCCACACCCGAAGGATCTGCTGGGGAGCAACGATCCCCGTAAGCACGACCTCCCGGGCTCCTTGATAACAAGGGACGCCCTCGTTCGCCAAGGTGTGAATCGACACCTGGATGAGGGCGGTGGACCCTGCCCGGAACCCTTGCTGGGATTTTTCCATTGCTCGGGCGGGGTCCCGGTGACCCAGTGACATGCCTCCCGGCCCGCCACCTGGAACAACGCCATCTCTGACGTTCCTGTGGCACGGGGCTCTGGAATTCCCGCTCCAGGCTCCGCAGCGCGGCCTCTGAGTACCGAGGACACATGTGATCAAGATCGTGTCCGCAGTCGGTACTATGGCCTTGGTAGGCGCGGATCCTGCCCTGCGCCAAAAAGCGCGTGTCAAGTGTCAAGGCGGGAGCGGTCACTCCGAGCGTAGGCAAGTACCCGCCTTGCAGAAAGAACCCGGACATGCCAAGACCATCTTCTTTTCACAAGCCGTGGGATCGTCCTCAAGGCTCCGGCGGGGTCTTCCCGGGCGCCCTTTGCCGTATCCCTTTCCGCGGCGGGCGAGGGAGAGCAAAGGCAGACTGCCTGGCCTGGGCGGCCAGACAAGCTAGGCCCGCCACAGGCGCCTAGCAGCAAGCAGACCTGACCCGGGCGGCCAGAAAGGCTAGGCCCGCCACGGGTACCTAGCACCCAAAGTTTCTGACCCGGGCGGCCAGAAGTGCTAGGCCCGCCACGGGTGCCTAGCAGAAACAGAACCTGACCCGGGCGGCCAGGTGTACTAGGCCCGCCACGGGTACCTAGTAGGGAAGTATAACGGGAGCGCAAGGGGGACAAAAGGGCAGGAGGCCGAGAGAGTGAGGGCCGGAAACCTGCAAACGGCTCTTGAGCTAGTCTCGAGCCGGTACCGCTGCACACGGGTACCTTGTGAAGGGTTTAGGGCAAGGGGTGCTTCACACACGGGCTCAGGTGTACCTAGGGGAAGCGCACAAACACTGCTACCTAGGGCTTCTCTGGCTGACCTGACCTGCTGCACCTCACTGCACCTGACAGGAACCCTTGCACATGCACTCGTGTACGGACGATACGAGCACGCCTCCAGGCCCATGACCGGCGACCAGACGGATGGCCCGCCCAGGAACACCCCGACAAGCCCGAAAACCCGACCAAACCCAGACAGCCCAAACCCAACCCGAGAAACGGAGATCCGCGTGAAATGATTGGTATCGGCTTTGGCCGCGTCATGCTTCGCGCGCTTGCCAGGCGTGCCTTGCTGGCGGACACCGAGCGCTTCTAAA